AAACTTAGCAAGTTGAGTCAACTTTTAAGGTTTCTAGCACTCTCTCTCGCTGGACTCTCTCTCTCGATAATATGATTCTGGTGATGATCTTTGATTCTTTATATTCCAAAGACCAAACACCCAACACACAAAATCCTATTTCGCAATTTGCAATGCTCTACAGACTGCTGCCAAATCCAATAGCAATTGAAAACCAATAGAAATTAAATAAAACTCACATACAGTCCTACTGGCAATTGGGGTCTAGAAGCCTGGCTGATGACTGATGAAAAATGGGCGCTGGATGCTGGTGGATGCAGGCAGGGACGAGAAGGTGGGCGGTGGCTGCAGCGTCGCAGGGGCGATTAATTAGTGGAGCTTCAGAATTCATTGTTTGAATTATGGTATTGTAATGGGGGCTTACCATTTGGGCCATATAATATAATAGGCCCAATTGTTGTTTTTTTTTTTTTTATGTTATTGGGTTTATGAAAAAATTGGGGCGGCCTAAAGCCTAGTGCAGGCATCTGCCTGCACTGGGCTGTAGTTGGGTCCGCCCCTGCTTGTGAAAACGAGAAACATACTCCTGTTTGTGCTCGATAGCCTCGTACGTGCAAGTTTTTTTTAAAAAGAGATCTCTTACATTGAGATTTTACAAATGTGTAAAGGGTGATCTTTCATTGTTTATCCAAGCAAATTCTACTTTGAGTTCGTGTTGACAGTATATTAATAACGTGAAACAAATCAAACTCTTATTTAGCCCACGTTTAGTTTAGACAAAAAAAATCAAATTTTTAGTAAATTTTGATAAAAGTTCACATAATGTGTGATTGAAAATATGTGGACCCCATGAAATATAAGATTGAAATTAATTATTGACTTTTTTTGAATTTTAATAAAAAAATTAATTGTACCAAACATGGATTAGTATCTATTCTCAATGATGAAAATAAGTCTTCTCCTAATTAAGAACTAGATCCTTACGTTACTTTATTGAGATAGCTTCGCATAACTAAGCCCCTGTTTGATTTAGATAAAAAATAAATTTTAAAGAATAAATCTTGATAAAGTTAATGAAATATACAATTAAAAAATTGATAAAAGTTATAGATTCCAAGAAATGTACGATTGAAAACAACATCAAACGAGGGTCGAGGGCTAAATAAAAATCTATGTTTGCTATACATATAAATACGTGTACAATGACAATATTCCCTCTTTATGCAAGTGATATTAGATCACAAATTATCTACGAAGCTCTTTAGTACAAGTTTATCGGACAGTAAAATGTGAATATAAATATAAATAAAAAGCAAATGAACTCAATTATGCTTGTTGACCATACCAGATATTAGATCGCGGAGTATCTACGAAACTCTTTAGTATGAGTCTACTGTACAATAAAATGTGAATATAAAATATAAATAAAAAGCAAGTGGACTCAGTTATGCTTGTTGACCATACAAATATTAGATTATGAAGTATTTACGACGCTCTTTAGTATGAGTATATTGGACACTAAAATGTGAAGCTCTTTATGCTCTTAAGATACTTGATAGGAGGTCATGTGACCAAACCAACTCCTTAACTCTACCTAAGAGTTTCAGTGTTTTAGTAAGTACCAGTCAGAATTGAACGTGAGTTACACATTATTTTGAAATACTTTATAAGTGTTGTAAAAGTAATATTTGACAATCAATTTACCATTTGATCTAAATTTAAGAGAAACGCAGGCTTATGAAAGTAAATATTAATTATTATACATGCACATAAATAGTAAAATATATACTCGAATGTGAGTATTAAAATTGCAACTAAATGCATAAATGAAGATGAATGACAAATAGTAGGGCTGGACAAAATTCTCGAAATCGGATTGAACCGAATCAAGCGATTCTTCATAAGTTAAATACCCGAACGTGAGAACAGAAGAATCGAATCTAAATAAATTTCTTATATTAAATTAATTAAATTATTTTACTTTTTAAAACAAATTAACTAATTTAGTTATTAATGCTCAAACTTCTAAGCTAACTCCATGCCAAACCCAACCCAATTTCTAAATTCAATTATTTGGCTCAAATTTTAAATTCTTCGTTAGCCCAAGATTCATTCGATATTTTCGATCACCTTCTTCCTGATTGATGAAATTTAAATACTGTATTAAAAGAGAAAAGATTTCATGCAAAAAACTTGCTATTTTAGATGTTCATACTATATGGAATTCAATATTCTTAATGTTAGATGTTGCATTTAATTTGTAAAAGATACGAACGAACATGTCATTAGTTGTATTTATGTAGTATTATTATAAATGTTAAAAAAATTAATAATAGTACGGAACCGAACATAACCAAACTGAACCGAACCGAACTTGAACGTTCCATAATTATATTTAGATCTGACGGTTCCATTTATTAAATACCCGAAAATTTTGGCTCGATTCAATTCTAAAGAGAACCGAATCGAATCAGACCATATCCAACCCTAACAAATATGATAAATGAATTAACGTGAATTTTAATTAATTTAAGATTAATACCAAGGAATATATACGTAACAATGCGTGTTAAATCATTTATATTAAATGAATATATTTTAATTTCCAATGAAGTGAAACTGGATGCTAATTAACATATGTGGACGTGAATAATGAATTGTATTTTTGAATGCGATATTCTAATTAATATTAATTAAATAAATATGAACGTTAATTAATTGTTAAGTATTTATTATCGTTTGTAAATTAAATACGTATTGAAAAACGAAAAATAAAATATTATTGAAATAATCGAACTGTAGTAGGACTATAATCGTTCAAAAATGGTTATCACTTCATGTAATATCTTCTATATATTAAAAGTGGCTATGTAACGGAATTTATTGTTTTTAACGGAAAA